ACATTCGTCTTCCGGTTATCTTCGGTAACAAACGTAGTGCGGATTTACGCCAAAGCATTGCCTGCTATTAAGCCACACACAAAAAAAAATACCGCGAGGAACCAATAAATTCCGGATCTCTGTGTTGGGACACTAGGCAGGTTTATACGGGAATGATTGTGCGGAATGCTCGGGCGTTCTAAACGGGGAACTTTGAAATATCGAACCCAAAAAAAAAGATGGATAATCTTCCACTTGGTGGGAAAATTGCGTTGGGGGGCAAATAGGTTAGAAGTTCACTGAAGCCATGTTGGTGTTAAATACAGTTTGGTGATGATGTAATGTAGGTTGTCTTATAAACTATCTGCTAGTTGCTGAATAATGATTAGGTTTACTTTTTTTTCAACATAGATAATAAGTATTATGGATAAGGTTTTTTTCCGAAGGGTATATAATTAAATATATACATAAGGGTGATAGCTCTACATCACCCCCCCCCCCCACTCCCCAAACCCCAAGATCCGCCAAAAGCAAAGAAATTAAGCAATATTAATGCCTGGGCAACTTTTAAAATATATCATAAAAGCTACATAGATACCAAAGATTTGTTAACTTCTTATGGGTCAACATTTTAAAAAATGTAATGTTCGTGGCTAAACCAATTACCTAGTCCTACATTATCGCCCCCCCCCCCCCACACACACACACCACCAATATTACTTTGAAGAAGACTCAGTGTATAATTAAGTAAGCAATATTTTAATACAAAATGGGTATCAGAGCTTACAATATATTTAAAACATAAATGCATTCCTGATTTTCGTAAAATGGAGATAGAAAAAAAAATGTATGAAAGTAGCCCAAGTTTTTTTTCCAGGGTTAAGATCCCCTCCCCTATACACCCAACACGATCGTCAAGGGGCTTAACCTATTGTAATTTAGCTATTTAAATTTGGAGCAGAGCAGGGGCGAGCACCGTGTATGCTGAAAGCTTAATCTGATCCCCGATTTCAATTGGGGACGTGGCACGGAAATGTTAAGGCCCTAAACGTGCAATGACAATAGCCCATCAAGGGGGGCGTTGACTTTTTGGCTCCCAGATTATGTGCTAGCAGCGTGTAGTTGGTTTTTGTTTTTGTAGAGAACTCAGCTGAAGAATAAGGTATAGAGGTTTAATGGACGCCGAGATGCAGGGGTTAGGCGTGTTGGGTTAGGTTGTTCTTTAGATTAAAAGTAATAAGGAAATGTGTTTTGAGGAAGTTGTTTTGTGGAAGCTGTTTTTTAATAAGTTTATAAGTTAAGTTATAAAATTAGAGTATGCAATCCAGAAATTCAGCCCTTGATTGTTACATTTAAATTCAGGAATTGTTCTATGTTTAAGATATAGGGTAAATTATAAGGTTGGGGTTTGTTTTTTTCATCTCAGACATGTAATTTACAGCGTCAGTTTGCCTTGCGTGTTCGCTTTAGTATTACAGTTTTCATCATCGGCTTGTGAGGACTGATACAGATTTACAATAGTAATACTTCTTTCTTACATAGATCTAATACAAAACGTCTAAAAATGCGAATGTGTTATTAAAAGATTATTCAAGGGATTGTTTTTTCCATCAGCGTGGTGGGCTTTCACGTAGAGCTGTCATAAATTTGGGATTACAGAAAAATAAATTATAAAAATGTCAAGCAAAACGGCATGTTAGGTTGATTAAAATGAGACACATCAAATCAAACATTCTTCCCTTTCAAACATCTAGATCTATATCTATAAAAGTACTCCCAGTTTTTTTTTAGTTGTTTTTTACTTTCTCGTATATACGTAGTATAGAGAAAGTATTGTAATCGTGCAAAAAAAAAATCGAGATTTTTACAAATCTCGACGTTTTACACCTCACTGATACGGAAAAACATAATTTTGCAATCTTTTCCGTATGTCTGTGTGTGTGTGTCTGTGTGTCTGTGTGTCTGTGTGTAAACACGATAACTTGAGTACCGTTACAGCTAGGTTGATGAAATTTCATATATAAGTATTATATCAAAATCGTAGATCCGTATCAACTTTTGAGCGATTTCCGACAACCGGAAGTGGTACTTTTTCTACTTTGAATTTTTCAAAAGCCTATAACTTGAGTACTATTTCAGATAGATAAATGAAATTTCACGTGTAAGTAAAAGATCTAATTCTCTACCTTCTGTTAAATTTTGAGTAATTTCCGTTGACCGGAAGTAGTAATTTACGCTACTTCCGATTTCACAAAAAACTAATGTAAATTTTTAAAGTACTAATAATATTGCGCACTATTATGCGCTTTTTTATTTGGCGTTCACTTGGTGTGCAATTAATTTGTCTACGAGATTTTATTCTATTTTTAAAACTTTAAGTATTAAAATTGGATTAAAAATCATGTCTATAGCCCGAGTTCCCATCCCCTGTTATTTTATATAAGAATATTCGAGAAAGTTTAGGGGAGATCACTCCCGGTTTATTTAATTTTTTTTTTTTTTTTTTTTTTTTGACATTTTGAAAGTTTATTTTCCAACTATACAAAATTATATACACGAGTCTGAAATCTAATGCTCATCAGGATTATTCCAAATAACTAGGTACTGTATTGACTTAATCACAATGTTGTAGTCTAAATATAGAACTCTTAATCTGAAATTAATAGATAGAGGGCGGCAGAGAAAAAAAAAAGGTAAATTGAAAAGAAAAGACAGACAGACATAATGTTAGTATTAATAAACCGGGAGTGATCTCCCCTAAACTTTCTCGATTATTCTTATATAAAACAACAGGGGATGGTAACTGGGGATATAATTATGATTTTTAATCCATTTTAAATACTTAAACTTTTAAAAATAGAATAGAATCTCATAAAAAAAACATTGCGCACCAAGCAAACGCCGAATAAAAACGCGTATAATAGTGCGCAATATTATTAGTACTTTAAAAATTTACATTAGTTTTTTGAGAAATCGGAAGTAGCGTAAATTACTCAGGACATAGACAATATTTGCAATCCATTTTTAATTATTTAAACTTTTTATAATAGAATGGAATCTCGTAAAAAAAAAAGAATTGCACACTAAGTGAACGCCTAATAAAAAGTGCATAATAGTGCGCAATATTATTAGTACTTTATAAATTTACGTGCGTTTTTTGTGAAATCGGAAATAGAGTAAATTAGTACTTCCAGTCAACGGAAATTACTCAAAATTTAACAGAAGGTAGCGAATTAGATCTTTTACTTACATGTGAAATTTCATTTATCTATCTGAAATAGTACTCAAGTTATAGGCTTTTGAAAAATTCAAAGTAGGAAAAGTACCACTTCCGGTTATCGGAAATCGCTCAAAAGTTGATACGGATCTACGATTTTGATAAAATACTTATATATGAAATTTCATCAACCTAGCTGTAACGGTACTCAAGTTATCGTGTTTACACACGGACAGACAGACAGACAGACAGACACACACACACACAGACATACGGACAAGATTGCAAAATTATGTTTTTCCGTATCAGTGAGGTGTAAAACGTCGAGATTTGTAAAAATCTCGATTTTTTTTTTGCACGATTACAATACTTTCTCTATACTACGTATATACGAGAAAGTAAAAACCGGGAGTGATCTCCCCTAAACTTTCTCGAATATTCTTATATAAAACAACAGGGGATGGTAACTGGGGATATAGTTATGATTTTTAATCCATTTTAAATACTTAAACTTTTAAAAATAGAATAGAATCTCATAAAAAAAACATTGCGCACCAAGCAAACGCCGAATAAAAACGCGTATAATAGTGCGCAATATTATTAGTACTTTAAAAATTTACATTAGTTTTTTGAGAAATCGGAAGTAGCGTAAATTACTACTTCCAGTCAACGGAAATTACTCAAAATTTAACAGAAGGTAGCGAATTAGATCTTTTACTTACATGTGAAATTTCATTTATCTATCTGAAATAGTACTCAAGTTATAGGCTTTTGAAAAATTCAAAGTAGGAAAAGTACCACTTCCGGTTATCGGAAATCGCTCAAAAGTTGATACGGATCTACGATTTTGATAAAATACTTATATATGAAATTTCATCAACCTAGCTGTAACGGTACTCAAGTTATCGTGTTTACACACGGACAGACAGACAGACAGACAGACACACACACACACAGACATACGGACAAGATTGCAAAATTATGTTTTTCCGTATCAGTGAGGTGTAAAACGTCGAGATTTGTAAAAATCTCGATTTTTTTTTTGCACGATTACAATACTTTCTCTATACTACGTATATACGAGAAAGTAAAAACCGGGAGTGATCTCCCCTAAACTTTCTCGAATATTCTTATATAAAACAACAGGGGATGGTAACTGGGGATATAGTTATGATTTTTAATCCATTTTAAATACTTAAACTTTTAAAAATAGAATAGAATCTCATAAAAAAAACATTGCGCACCAAGCAAACGCCGAATAAAAACGCGTATAATAGTGCGCAATATTATTAGTACTTTAAAAATTTACATTAGTTTTTTGAGAAATCGGAAGTAGCGTAAATTACTACTTCCAGTCAACGGAAATTACTCAAAATTTAACAGAAGGTAGCGAATTAGATCTTTTACTTACATGTGAAATTTCATTTATCTATCTGAAATAGTACTCAAGTTATAGGCTTTTGAAAAATTCAAAGTAGGAAAAGTACCACTTCCGGTTATCGGAAATCGCTCAAAAGTTGATACGGATCTACGATTTTGATAAAATACTTATATATGAAATTTCATCAACCTAGCTGTAACGGTACTCAAGTTATCGTGTTTACACACGGACAGACAGACAGACAGACAGACACACACACACACAGACATACGGACAAGATTGCAAAATTATGTTTTTCCGTATCAGTGAGGTGTAAAACGTCGAGATTTGTAAAAATCTCGATTTTTTTTTTTGCACGATTACAATACTTTCTCTATACTACGTATATACGAGAAAGTAAAAATTCTTCCGTATAAAGTATAATATCCATAAATATTGCAAGTTTCTTTATAATTATAATTATCAACCATCTATAGAAAAGAGGTGAAAGGCTAGTAAAGACTTTTAAATCAGTACACATGTAGCTGTCAGTCTTGTGCTCTATGATGAGGAAAAGTACCTAAACAATGTACACACAATTTTCTGTCCAAACAGAAATTCAATTGATACTGCTGCCATCTTTGTTATACTTTTGGCCAGGTTTATATTCATACTCTTCGTAAACAGGAAATGAGTGCTGTGTTTGTGGAGACTTGATGTCCTCTGTGATGGCTTGGGAACCAGAATCTGATGAAAGGTTTTGCTTGGCAAATTTTTTTTCCAGTTCTTGAGCTCTGAATTTTGTCTGCATGGTTTTAGCACTGTTCATTTCAATTTCCTCTGGAGTTGGTGGATCTGTCCTGCGACCTCTCAACCAGGCATTCCATTCAACAGGAATTTGAGGAATATCTGAGTAGTCTTGTCCAGGCCTTTTCTCAATAAACCTTGAAGCTCGCATGCTGTGTTCATCATCGCCAGCTTTCTCAAAATACCGATTGCCAAATTGATCAGAACCAACAAACTTGGCCTTTGTCTTTGCTATAAAAAATGTGTTTTTTAAATTGGTAAGAATTCTAGACAAGATTCCGACTCGATTTTGAGACATTTGATTTTGTTAACTAGTTTTAACCACTTTTTTCCTACTAAATTTTAGCAAATTTACTGGATACTACTGGAAAGGCTCATAGTGAATGTGTGTAGCCTACTGTGACTTAGAGTGCTCTTCAGTGAAGCAACCGGTTTATTTAATATTGTTTATGCTTATTGTGGAAGTTTTTCCTATATAAATAATATTATTTTATTACTTCTAATCTTAAAGCTTTGTTGATTGTATTTTTATCAGAGGTTTTGTGTACTGCGTTTTTTTTAGAGAGGTTACTGGTGAGAGGAGTACGCAGCAAGGTACATTTTAAAATATGTTCTGTTTTTTTTTTTTTTTTTTTGTGTGTGTGTGTGACTTAACAAACTTCTTGGATTTCTCTTACAGGCTCTTAATTTCCGACGCAGCGCTACTGAGAGTATATTTGAAGTTGTTCCCCTTGAAACATCTATTTAAAGCCATTTTCCCTCCAGGTGTAAAGATCCATTTGCAGCCACTCTCTTTGGGAAAAAAAACAGTAATAAAATAATAAACATTGCACCGATACCAATACGAAAATGACTGTAGGTCGTTTTTGTTTGTTCAACATACCACATAGCTGCACTATACATAAAAAAATAATCTTCTAATACTAACACCTATTCTTGCAAGAACAATGTTTCTTCAAAGTATCTCTTCGGGGGGGGGGGGAGGGGGGGTTCGAAGAGTCTACTGGCAATTATATAGAAAATATATACTTTTAACAGTATCCGCCACACCCCCACCCCCCCTTCCCACCCCGAAAATTCAAGTGCCTTCTTTCCCCCCCCCCCCCCCCCCCCACGGGGGAAAAGTCTATAAGAAACACTGTGCAAGAAGAAAGTGTGTATGTCAATAGATAACAATTTAGCTTATAGAAATGGCTAAATTCAAGCATTTTCTTACCAAAATTGCAAACAGTTGGAGCGAGAGGTTCACTACATTACCCTGCATAAATATAGGATGTGGGGGGGAGGGGGGAGATAGGGAGAGTAATTTCTAGGGAAATGGCTACAACAAACCCGGATACCCTTCATCCATATTCATCCAGTTTGCGTGAAGAAATATTTACTGGCGAATTGGTTATTTCGTGTTTATTGTATCGGCAAGTGTTGGGGTCATTGTACGTTTAAAATGGCGAGGAGTTCACTTCTCATTATACCGACGCTGTTAGTTGTTTTTTTTCAGTTAAAGAAATAATGTTTCTACTATTTGACTAATTATCTCTTCGTTGCAATTTAATGCTAGAGGCAAAAGATGCTTGAGTTACATACCCTTTCACGAGTTACTTGTCATTTACTGAGTTAATGAGTTAATTACGATTTCATGAATTACTTGCCCTTTCGTGAGTTACGTACCCTTTCAGTAATTACTTGCCCTTTCCTGAGTTACTTAGCCTTTCACGAATTACTTACTGTTTTCTGAGTTGCTTACCTTTTCATGGTTTACTTAACCTTTTTGCGTTACTTAATTTATCATGAGTTACTTACCTTTTCCGGAGTTAATTACCCTTTCACCAGTTACTTGCAGTTAAGAAATTATTGCCCCTCTATTTGCTTGTCTGTAACCACACAAGTTACCAGCCCTTTCACGAGTTATTTGCCCTTTCATGTGTTACTTGCTCTTTCATGGGTTACTTGCCCTTTCATGGGTTACTTGCATACACAAGTTACCAGCTCTGTCGTGACTTGGTAATAGCTAAACGAGTTGCTTCCACTTTCATAAGTTACTTGCCCTTCAATGTAGTGTACCAATCCATGAGTCGATAACCATTGTTTGACAAGCATAGAGTCTTCTACGGTAAAGTTGTAATAATCTTTTCCGTTGTTCCCTAGACCAGGGTAGTGACCAAATACTTCGTATAATTGTCAACCTATGCATTCATAGGTTAAACAGCTCGACCTTAAAAGTCCACAATCATCAAATCCTCTGGACAAAGTCACACACAAGCGGAAATTAAGATGGATAGACCGCTCACAAGATGTGGGTGGGATTGAAAATCCGGAAATATCGGAAACGAAGCAACATGGTTCAAGCTTGTGGGAAAATCGCTTACGGAACACGTTAAACAGTATAGTTTTTTCTTCAACAAGAAGAGAAATAAAGAAGGTGATAGAGATAGTCATCAGGGAGGGGGGAGAGGATAAAAGAAAGTAAGGGATAAATGAGATGTTAAGATTAGTTGAAAGCAGATGTTAAAGAAGATGTTAATGCAATGGAGTTGATAAGCATGGGATGATGAAAAGAGAAAGACGGAGAATGGGGTTAAAAAATGTAATGATTGTAAAGTGTAAGGAAGCATCTTATAAGTAGGATGGCAATGACGATGATGACAATAAATAATGTACATGGCTTTAGGCCCTCGGTTAAGAAAATAGCATTTTAATAAAATGAAATAATAGGTTAGGCCGCAATGTTCTATAAATTGAGGAAACATTGTTTTGTTACATTTCTTTTGAGAGCGCGGAGTGGCTCGTCTTAACATTAACTTATGTTGGAATTTTTTTTCCCGCGTTTTTTAGTGTGTAAATTTCAATGTCTTTTATGTTAATCGCATAAAACATCACTTCTCTAATAAATGATTTCGTATAAAACTATATGGATTTAAAAAGAAAACATTTGATAAAAATCGTTCTGACTGGTATAATTAATGTTCGAACACTATTTCTTACTGCTTATTTCCTATTTCGATTGTTTGAAGTCCCATTGTTAGTATAATGTGAGTACACGTCTCCAAGTCTGAACTAACCCTGTATCTAATGATATTTTTAAAAAACCGAAACCATGTTTTACATTGGGTACACTTGATTTATGAAGTTCAAACTGATTCATCATCAGTCTTTACCGTTCGTGCCAAAAACAATGGGCAGATGAAATAGAGTTCATCTGTTTCAGAGACCTAGGCATATGAAAGAATTCAAAGCAAATCAAAACTTTATTTTGTTAAAGAAAGTCCACTTTAGTAATTTATCTAATTTGTGTGTTTTATCACAAAAAGATTTTTTTAATCTGTTAAATGCATTAAAAACAAGAGAGAAAAACAAACTTTCTTTTGATTGTGTTTGTTACAAGCATTGTTCGCTAAAATATCTGAGAGATTTCTGGAGCAACCACCACTGGTTGTTCTGAAGATTAAAGACCGCCCATAAATTAATCTGTACTTAATGCGGCTCAGCGGCTAAGTTAGTGGTTTAATTAGTGGTATTTTATTCAGCACAAATATTGATCAAAGTGTAAACACGGGCTGCGCCTTGCATGCATTACGATAAAAATCCTGAGCTCAGAAGTGAGATCAAAGAAACACGACCTTCATAAAAAAAAACAATAGATTTGCTAAAATATCGTCAGAACATAAGGTGGTGGAAGATGAAAACCAATGATCCATAAAGCTGAAACGAAGTTAAAGTTTAGTGGGAGAAGATAAAGTATACATTCAAGTACATATATACAAACATGTATACATATATATATATATATATATATATATATATATATATATATATATATATATATATATATATATATATATATATATATATATATATATATATATTATATATATATATATATATATATATATATATATTATATATATTATATATATATATATATATATATATATATATATATATATATATATATATATATATATATATATATATATATATATATATATATATGTGTGTGTGTGTGTGTGTGTGTGAGAAAATTTGGGCTCTCATCTCACCCCTATTGTAACAAGATCCTGCTCATTTTATGAACCGGCACTCATTCAGAAAAAATGATATGCACAAAGTAAAATAAAGACAACATATATCTAATTTATCCAAAACCACAACTAAACCAATTATTTAATGTAAGCATATACACTCCTCGTGTAATTTAATATGGTTAGAAATATAACAAAACCTTTGTTTTGTTTATGAACATGTTTTTGCATTTTACATTTTTACAACAAAAAAAAAACAATTTTGGTTCTATAACTTTTCTTTGATGAGTTTAAGACCTAGCCGTGTTTTAAATATCGCCTTTAAGCGTCTATCTATACACTGTTATAGCGTCTAAACCAAGCAATACATTAATGGCTGTGTTTGAGAGTGATTTACTACAGGAATCTATCTAGTCAATATCCCAAGTGACTTACTGGAAAATAATATCTCTATGTGACTCATCACAATCCGCTTTATATTAATTAGTTAGTGAATGTTAATGAGACAAGCATTGAAGAAAAAGGTTATCAAAAACATTTTGTATAATGCAACATTAAACAGCTAATTTTCTTTTATACACAATTGTCTTAATTTAATCTAACACACATTTTTTAACACCTAATATCAGAAATATTTTTATTTTGTTCCAGCTAGAAAAATATTTCTCTTATCGATGTTTTCGGAATTTGGAAACATCTTTTCTTTTCGAAAAGAAGTTTAAAAAAAAGAATTTCCCGAGTTTGGTTTTATTTTACACCCTAAAAATCTGGCTTGTGAGCGAACTTTTTCTGTCCCTAAATTGTCCAGTGTGTCGTTCTATCGTATTTTTCCACCCCTCCGCAAATTCGTCTTTTTTTTTCTCTTTTAAACTTTCCGTTCTTTTATCAGCTAAGGACAAACTTGGAGGACCTGTAAATCTTGAGAAAAAAAAAATAAAAGAGGAAAGGGGTTGAAAAACATGTGTATGGGGATAGGGAGGGGAGGGGTCTGGACGTAATGATTGAAGTTCTGCAAAGCTGTTTTTCCATCACGGTCAAGCAGGGCCAATGATAAACGATGCAGGCGGACGATTTGCAGATGGTTTATTTCTGAATACAGCTTAAAGAAAAACGTTTCGCGTGCTCTGGATACTCTCGACATATTCTGTGCAGTTGAATTTTGTTCCAGTGTTGGGCTGTTCGAAACATATTAAATTTGGTGACCGGAAAGATGCGCAATGGAAAAATGCGCAACGGAGAAATGCGCAACGGACAACTGCGTTAAAAAAAGTGCGCAAAGGCATTTTTTTCAGACATTAGCAGAGTAGCTGCATGTACATTATAGCATGGTAAAACATATTTC